TCTTTTTTCTTTTTTTTTTTTTTTTTTTTTTTTGCAAGTTACAGGTGTAGCATTCCTGTCAGAAATTACCATGTCAGTACAACTTCTTATCCCAAAGATTTCCATTTAATATTTATGTCCTGTGGCCATTCAAGCAAAGAACAGAGAGAATTTTCTGAGGGAAAATATAAGACAGCAGCTTGTACAGCTGTGGTTTCGCCTAGAGCTTTTTGCTGTGTTATATTCACATATTGAATATGATGGCCAAATTACTCCTGTGTGGGTGTGTGGTGGCAGCTCTGAGTGGGACATGAAGGCACCAAAAGGATTTGGGAGCAAGAGGAAATGTGCAAGAAAAGCTTTAGAGACCTTTGCTTTTGCTGTGATGCTTCTCTGAGTTGTATTTTCTGACAGTACATGTGAAATGTTGAGAAAGTAAAGCTGGAGAAGGATACTCTGGTGTGTATTTATGTGCTGGAGTTTTCAGAAGTGGTCATGTTTGATTGTTTTGCATGGGGCTAATCTAGTGGAGAAAAGCAGGGATGTAAATGTGGAATTATGGCACCACTGGTGAACTTCATGTTAATTTTACTGTGTTTTATCCAACATCAAACATCAAGTCTGGGTTGTTTAAATAACCTGTGTTAACAACACACTTAAAAACAAATTAATGAGCAAACCCCACAAAATGACAACAGAAATTGCATCTTTCGTTTAACTTCTAAGTTATGCATTAAATAAGAAACATTTTGCTGCAAATTTTTAGAATGTTGACCCTTGTAAGTGATGGCAGCTGGCAGATTCTGGTGTAGATGGAGCCTGTCTTGGCTAAGCCGGCACACTTTCCTAAGTGAAAATTGTTTTGAAGAATGTGGTTGTCAAATATACTGTCAGTGTAAGAGTTGCTGTACGTCTGTTGGCTAAAGGGTTGTACAGGCTTTCCGAGGAATTTGAATTCCTTTTTAATAAAAATCTCCTAAATATTAGAAAAAGAAGTAAATATTGTTGGCAAACTGGGAGTCTGTGCTTTCCCTGACCTTGCAAGTGCTTGTCAGAAACACAGGGCTGGCTTTATTTTTAAGACATAGAAGGAAATAAAATCAGAACATCCTAAATAATGCATTAGAATGACACAACCCAATAGCATCAACAAAATTAAAGCAGATGTAAATTCATGGTTTTCACACCACTTTATAGTGTTCAAGTAAATGGTATATTTAGAAATTCTTTGTCTCCAAAAATAACCAACAAACCCAAAAAGGAAAACAAACTTAACATCCTGTTAATTGTTCTGGGTGGAAAACAACTTATCATACTGTAATTAAATCAGTGAGGCATGGAATAATTAATGAAAATAATTTTGATAGCTAGAAGAGTAGGACAAGGTTAACTCATAGGCAATATAGAGCAGGAAAAATGCCTTATCTACAGCTCAGTAAATTATTATTATTTCTCAACATCCAAGTAAAACTTGGAGTTTCCTCACCAGCTCTGACAAAACCTTTTTATTCAAATGTAACTCTAATATTGTACTTAATGGTTTTGATGTAAGCTTAGAAAATGTCATAGGAACAATTCTTACAAATCCTCTTCCTTACTTCTTTTGTCACATCACTACACCCACAGAGGTAATTTAAAATAAGAGTATTTCTTTTCATGCTAGGGTTTGAAAAAGGGAGTGAGGAAAACAATCCAAAGCTGTTTCTATGGAGGAAAGGAAGAGAGTAAGAAAGGGGAAGAGAAAGAGAAAGAAAGAGAGAGAGAGAAGGAGAAAGAAAGAGAGAAAGAGAGAAGGAGAAAGAAAGAGAGAAAGAGAGAAGGAGAAAGAAAGAGAGAAGGAGAAAGAAAGAGAATGAAAGAGAGAAAGAGAGAAAGAGAAAGAGGAAAAGAAAGAGAGAAAGAGAAAGAGAGAAAGAAAAAGAAAGAGAGAGAAAGAAAGAGAAAAGAAAGACCCCAAACTCTGTTCTGGGGTCTGACTCTGTTTGTGGTATGAACTGGGGCATTCCCAAGGCTGGCGTGAAGTTTTATGGTTTAGGACATTTCCTGTTTCTTAATATCCCAAATGCAATTTCTGTGCCTTTGGCAGAGCTTTTCCCAGCAGGATGGCGCAATTGTTGTGGAGCTGGGCTGCAGAGGGAATTTCTTATCCCATGGAAATCTTTTGAGGCAGATTTCTCCCACTGCCCTCTCATGTTGTCTGACCAAACCGAGCCAGGACAGGGACATCCCAAAGTGGCATTGCCAAAGCAAACATTGCAGAAGCAACCAGATATCCTTTCCTTTTCATGTGAGGACTGAAACACAGAAATAATGACACTTTTTGGACAGTTGATTTGGTTGGCTTTCTTCAGTAAAGCAGGTGTTGCCAGGTGTAGAAGTGCCTGTACCTGACAGTTTTGCTCCTTAGTTTAGAGATGGAAAAGTACAAATCCAAAAGCTTTGCCTTGAAGAAAATGGGAAATAAACAAGGTTTTTTGAGACAAATTTATTTCCTTTTGCCTTTATCCATCATTTTCTGATAGTCAGAGAGAAAAAAGCCAACAAGAAATTGAAGATCCACCTATATATATTAATATGAGAGGGAAAGCAATTGAATTGCTCCTTTCCCATGAAGTTCAGACAGCACTGGACATTTGAAGTGATGGGAAGGATTTATGTAAATTAAACAGATTAATACCTTGTGTAAATTCTTAAAAGCTACTTTGCCTCTCTCTAGAAGTTCACCATTCCATTTTTAGCCGTTTTTTGCAAGCCTTGAAGCCAAAGGTAAGAATCCTTAGTCCAAAGATCAGAACTTTTATGGAATAAAAATAAAATTTAACATAAAAATTATGTTAAAAAAAGGGGGAAAAAAGTAGCTATAAAAGCTAGCAAATACATTGAACAGATGTTTTGGTCTATGTTCAGTCTAGAAGCTGATTATTAAAACAGTTAATATTTTAAAATTATTTATGATTATTTGTAGAGTTCTGTGCCTGCTTTTGATAGTTATGTAGCCATATAATGTGCCCATCCTGGTGCATTTGGAATCAGTCCAAAACCTCCCATTTAAATTATTGGCTCACCATACAGTTTCAAATACAGCTGAAGAGACAATGGTTTAAAAAGCTGTGAAGCTTTTGTTATTAGTAAAGGAACTGTTCCCTTGACATTTTACAGTGACAAGCTAACTGCAACAAAAAAAATAATAAAAGTACACTTCAGGCTTCAAACAATCTTTCGCTATTTTCTTTTCTTTATTTTTTCTAAAATGACTGCTTCTCAAATACCCACAATACCTTTTTTACCTGCAGAATTGAGATCTTTATCAAACAGCTGAATTTGTATTTGTGTGGATTAAGATAATGGAATGATTTAGATTGGAAGGGACTTCTGGAAGTCATGTAGTCCATTCTCCTGCTTGAAGTAGGTGCTGAACATCAGTTTGCTTGTTCCATCAGCAGGTTGCCAAGGCATGGATCTCATCAAGTTTTGAATATTTCCAGAGATGAATGTTGCACAAACTCTGTGTAGCCCATTCCATGGTTAAATCTCTGTGATTAGCCTGATGGTGTGAGAGGTTTTCCTTGTATCTGCACAGCATTTCTTGTGCCCCCACTTTCTGTCTCCTTGCAATGTAACATCCAAAAACTCTTTAAATTTGGCTTTGGCTTTCAGTTTGAAGGCTGGGAACGTTAAGGAGCATGCCACTGTCACAGGATGCCCATTGGGCTCTTATTCTTCCTAGTAGTAACTCTGGTAGTGGTGTTTCAATTTTTTCCCCCATTTATTTCTTCTTAGAAACCCTGAAAAAGGTTCTTTCAGAAAGGATTGAGCGTTTTTTTGCACCCTTTCCAGGTTGATGCAGCTTTAAGAGGTTTGCAAAACCCAGTTTTTCTCCCGGGTGCTTTGTAAGGTGAAAATAAACATTCCTTCCTCTCCTAGACTGGCCTTGCATCTTGGCAAAGAAAGCACCAAAAAAACCTGCCTCTTATTTTTGATAATTTTATGGGTGGGATGTTGTCAAAGGAGGGTTACATGACTGCAGCAACACATCTGAGCACATACAGCCTCACTTTCCTTCCCAGTTTTCCTCCTGTCATGAATGAGGAGTAGTTCTAGAAAGATTAAGATAATTATTTGACTAATACTGAAGGAAGACAAGAAATTGGCCCTTGCTGTTTAGTGTTTTGTACAAGTGATGGTACAAAATGTTGCTGGAAGAATGTGTACTTGTGCTGGTAAACAAGGAAGAGTGCCAGCTCCCAAAGCATGCTGTCCTCAGGGGGCTCTCTGTCCATAGATTGCCTTTGAATTTAACAAAATCTGGTTTTCTTATGGAAAGAATATAAAGCTTTCATGTGAATATAATTGGTGTAGTTAAAGATGGTCCAAGAAGGTTGTTAAAGTTTATTTGGCATTAAATATATCCAGCCCCCTCAAATGAGAAACTGAGGCACCGAGGCTTAGTAATTTACATTTGGTTTGAACTATAAGCCTCAATAAAATACTCCAGATTTAATTAATTTTAAAGCAGCTTGTCTTTTGGAACCTGTGAATTTCTTCCAAAGACTTTACCTTATGCCAGCTTTTTTCCTAACTTCTGTTTTATGTGATATTTGCACTGAGTTGCTGTCATATATCAGAAGTACTTATCTTTTTAGAATGCCATGTAATTTCCTATGAACAGCTGCTCACTATAGCTGTGCTGTTTTTTTGACTGAAATTGAATACAACTTCAGTATTTTAATATGAGATTTGATTGAAGCATTGAATGCTCAGTTGTCTGTCATGCATTTCAAAAGCACAGGTCCTCACTGCATGCCTATGACCACTTCTTTGGAGGTAAATAAATTTCAGGCTTGTGTAAAATGTGATGAAATTAAAATGCAAGTTGAAATAAAAATATCTTACCTGTAATCCCATGTTGTATTGTCAGTACAGGGAAGTATAATCATGTCTTAGCAGTCATTTATGACTCATTTTCTTTTTTCTTTGAGAAATAAACATGTTTCAAACTTTTTTTTCCCTCCCCTTTGTAGAGCCAGTATTGTGCAGAAGCGCATAATTTATTTTCAAGATGAGGGCTCTCTCACCAAAAAAATCTGTGAACAAGGTAAGGTAAAGTAAAATATCTCTTTGACGTCCTCGTTTTGTTTTTCATTTTTCTCCTAACATTTTGTCTCAAACTAAAGTTTTGAGTTCTTGGACAGGTTGAGATTTGGCCTCTTCCATTCAGTTATGTTCTTCCTTATCACATATACTCCAACTCATAAAATCTTTGCCTCCCCCTAAAGTGCTACTTGCAATTCTTTACCTGCTCTTTGTGTGATACCCATTGGTTTCCAGAGCACTCTGTTATTGAATCCTGGGATATTTCATCCTTTCCTAAACCTAAACATTGCACCTGGTTATGGCATCCTGCTGGAGAATTCATTTACTTTGTCTGTTCAGAAATTTCAAGCCCATTGTGTTTTGAGATCAGCTGAGGTTTTTCTTTATCAGATAGAAACCAGAAAGAAACCCCTTTCGAATCTGAAGATAACTGAAATATTATTGCATTCTAATTGAAAATTGTGGATTTAAGCCATTCCATCCACTTATAAATATGATACAGCTTGTCCTTTAGTCTAACAGCAAACTAAAAATTTAAAAAAAACAAACCCATGTTTAACTCATATTTATTCCCTGGAGTATTTACCACAGCAGCTTCACTGTCCCCACTGGTTTGGAGTTGTAGCCACTTTCAATGGGTGCTTTGATGCTTTTTCAGACTCAGCCTCGGAAGGTGTGACTGACAAACCCATTTTAGACTGCTGTGCCTGCGGTACTGCCAAGTACAGGCTGACATTTTATGGAAACTGGTCGGAAAAAACACATCCCAAAGATTTCCCACGTGAGTATTCCTCTCTTGCTTGCACCTCACAGGGGCCTTGGGGAGGCTTGGAGCAGGTTGTGTGACACAGCATCACTTATTTACAGCTCAGCAGAGTAAATGATGACATGCATGGCATCCTGCTGGCACTCAGCATTGAAAATCAATGGGTCTCTCTGCACTCCACATTACCTGCACATTCTATTGATTTGCCTGACATTTTGAGCTAAGATGTGTGTGAGGTTGTGTTTGCAAGATGTCTTTGTGGGGATGTGGGGAGAAAGCTTCTTTTCTTTTCTTTTTTTTTTTTTTTTTTTTTCTCTGATTGAAAGCTTAGAATGGCTTATAATGTAGAGATTTTAAGAAAAGTCCACAAAGGACAGGCAGCAAACTAACATTTTGATTTTTCAGCCATGACAATCTACCTAGTTTGTTTTGCTTCAAAGTATATTTAATTATTTCAGTTAAATTTGGCGAGTTTTGAATCTTGCTGCCCAAGGATATTAATTGTATATATAGATATAAGAATACTCTGTCTTCTTTTTCTTTGTTGGTTGAACACCCACTTCTGAAATTTGCCTCTCTAGGTTTTTAAGTGTCTGAGCTACAGAATCAGTATTTTTGTTGCAGGTTATCTTTCTGCAGTTACCCAAGTATCTGTAAAAAGCTGAAGTTACAAAATTGTGTATTATGCATTTGGTCTTTCATTACTGACTCCACAGTCCGAGGGAAAAAAGGCCAGGAAAGTAATTAAGAATATGAGTCATATTTACAGGTCTTTAAACTCTGTTATGTTTTCTGTGGCTGATCTTTATTATAGAGGCTTTTTTATGTTGATTGAAAAAAATATTATTACTGTCACAGTGTCAGAATATCCTCATATAACTCAAATATGGTTTGTATCAGCTCAAATTTTAACAGCCTAAGCAATGTTGCTTGTGTTGGGTTTGAAACACAGCATTGTTCAAATCCTATTGGTCAGCATAATATGGGGGAGATAAAACAAGCAAAGCCAATAATTGCAGGAATGCTCTTTCAGGCTGCTGGAGGATTTAAATATCTGCTGAGTGTGAACTTTATGTGCACTATTTCCATGGACTCAGCTGGTGGTTAGAAATAGGCCATGAGAAAAGGACTGAAAGCTAGCAAGTTACTGTGGCCCTTTTCCCTTTCCTTTTCCCTTTTCCCTTTTCCTTTCCATTTCCATTTCCCTTTCCCTTTCCCTTTCCCTTTTTTTTTTCTTCCATCATGAAAGGTATGGCTGCATGATGGAAAATAAGCAAGTCACAATAGTTTCTCTGCTATCTGTCCCCAGTTACAAAATGGTGAATTAAATCAATATTTTACTTCAACTGGGAAAGTAAAAAAATAACCACTTGATACTTGCATGATTAATCACAGCAATAACAGCTAATAAGGTTTTGCATCAAAATTTCTGAAAGTTGAGAGAAAGATCTCATCCAAATATAGTGATGTTCAAAAAGGAAACCTAGTCATTGTCACTATGCTTAAAAATGTTGAGTTTGTGCAGTAATTACATGAAAATAAAATGGTATTCATTGTGGACTGTGGTAAATCACTAATTATTTGCAAGCCACCACATAAAAAATTTTTGCTCTATTCTTCTACCACCAGTAAGGTTGGAATAGACAGCAGATAATAAACTTTGTATTTCACATATTTTCTTTATCTCCCAATTTGCTTAAAAAACCCCTAAAGAGCATGCACTTTATGCAAAGCATTCAAATCTTTTATTGAAGAGTTCTGGGTGTCAGGGGTACACAAACCCAAATCTGACCCTCCATGGTTTCGAGCCAAACATGTTTTATATTCTATCTTTATATAACTTACATATCCATTATTAAACTTACATTGTTCTATTGTGTGCATTGATTTCATCCAAGCAGGGATTTCTTGTGATCCCCCTCAAACCCCTAACATTGTTTCTCATGATTCTTTAAACAATAATTATATCTAATCACATCTAACAATTATACCGTTTATTATATATTGACTACACAGGTGCAGTTTCACTTGATCTAGCAAATACAAGGCCTAACATTTCCCAGGGCCTACTAAGCCTAACTTTCTTTCCAACTCCCTGAATTTTCTATGATGTTAAAATCTTTTACTATCACCAGGAGAGGAAAATTAACATATATAGAGCCAGACACCTTTATGTTTTCCAGACACCTTTAAACAATAATTATATCTAATCCCATCTAACAATTATATCATTTATCATATACTGACTACACAGTTTCACATGATCTAGCAAATACGAGGCCTAACATTTCCCAGGGCCTACCTTTAACATTTTCCCAGGGCCTAGTAAGCCTAAATTTCTTTCTAACTCCATGAATTTTCTGTGATTTTAAAATCTTTTACTCTCAGTGTCACTGGCTGTGATGCCTTAAGGAGCTGGAACAGAAGCTAGATGGAGTTAAGGGGAATAAAGTGGATATTTATTGCCGTGCCTTCAAAGGACACACCCTGGCAGGGCCCAGATGGCTCCAAGATGGAAGCAAAAGAGGACTTGCTCACGAGATCTCACATTTTTATAAGTTTTAGTCCATTTCCATATTGGAGCTAATTGTCCAACCACAGCTCCAGCCCATGCAGTCCCGCCCTGCTTGTTTTTCTCTCTCCAGCCCACAGTGTTTGTGCTCTGGGGCTGAGATTGGGATCATTTGTCCTTGGTGCCCAGAGCTCACCATCCCTGAATATGAAGGCTCAGAATTACACACTAAAGCAGTACAGAATGGGAAAAATATAAAAAGCTAAACCCTAAGTCATCAGCTGTGTTTCAGGGTGCCTGGTGGGACAGGCAGACCCAGGAGGAGAGGATGGAGTTCCATCACTGGGGCTGAGGGACAGCATCTCCCTGGGCTTTGGCAGGTGCCACTGTAGATTTCAGGAACAATTGATACATCTTAGATCAAGAAACCATCTCCTGACATTGCCATCTCTTCAGCTGTGGAGGAGGCAAGGTTTAGTTTTGGTTTTTTCTGCACATATTACTGATTCATTTTAGTTGATTCTGAAAACATCAGGACTGCTGCATTCAGAGCTCTGTAAGTGTATTTTGGTCCAAGTTCAGGACTAGGGAAGCTATGAAGGCTGTGTTTGCTGCTCTGCTAGGCCATCTCCCTCATCTATCTATTCTGCTTCCTACGTTTTTCTCTCTTCTTTCCCCTGCTGTTGGTGTTCATTTTTTATTTCTAATCTATTTTCTACTCTCCCATGATTAGGTTCCTGCATCTGACTTTATACAATTCTCTGCACTGTCCTTTTCAATTTCATTGTTCCACCTCTCGCATCTTAAATTTGCATTCCTTTTCTTTACTTCATTATTCATTTTTCATTCATTTATTCAGTTTGTAGCTGTTTTTACTGCTGCTCTCTACCTTTTGCATTGTGAAGAGAAACTATAAATATTGTCTCACTCCATCATTCTGACTCCCTCATCTCCTGCAGTCCTTGCCTTGTTACAGCCTGTCTGCTTATGTTAGCAGTTCATTTTCTCACCCTTTTCCTTTAAGACCATATATCTGCAGAAGGTTATTGACACTTAAGTGAATTCATTTTGCATTTCCAGGGCTGTGGGACTTCTGTGACTCCTTATTTCTGCTCAATGCTCATTTCAATTCCATCATACTTCCCTAACATCTTTTTCTTTGTACTTTTTTTTTATTATTATTATTTTTTTGTTCAACAAGACAAGAAACAAGAATGGGAATCCTTTTGCTTAGCTCTACAGCTCTTACATTATGAGAAATCTAAGCAAGAAAACTCAGTGAGTATAGAAGTGAATACAGAAAAATTTACTTCTTCACTGCCTTCAGTAAGGAAAACTTGCTTTTAAAACTGAGAGTGACCACTGAAGTCTTCCCTTGCAGGTTTCCTTCTCGAAAATATTTGACAGAGAAACTTAAAATTAAAGGTTGCTTAAACTTTCTGAAGTGAGACCTTTGGTGAGAAAAAACTATTCTAAGCCTGTTTGTTTTGAGGGGCTGCTTCAAGCTCAATTTCTGTCAGTCACTGCCTTGTTCCCACTGCTCTGCAGATGTGAGTGCAGTGAGAAGTGGCAGCATGCAAAAGTGGGCGCTCCCAGACTTTATTACAAGTCAGGAATTATTGTTTGAGGCTGCCTCGAGGGTGGTTTGATTTATTTTGTTTTGGTTTTCCCCCCGAAAAGGACGCACCAACCACTGGTCTGCCATCATTGGCAGCTCCCACTCCAAGAACTACATCCTGTGGGAGTACGGGGGATACGCCAGCGAAGGGGTCAAGCAAGTGGCAGAGCTGGGCTCCCCAGTGAAGATGGAAGAAGAAATTCGACAGCAGGTAGGTGCATTTTTGGTGCTTAATTTTGATAAAAGGATCCTCCCTTGGCCTGTTAACAGTTTGTCATTGGGAATGTAATTTTGCTGAGTAATTCTCACTTCAGTGGAGAAGGAGTTCTGTGTGGCTCTCTTGATCCATTCTTACCCTGGAAAGGGTTTTTGTCTAGGAAAGGACAAGTAAGTTGGAGCATTCTAAACTTAGAAAATCTGTGTGCTGTGTAGAGCAGAAATCAGAGGGGGCAAAGTGAAAATCACCTGTTCAGGCTTGATTGTGAAGGCACTGTTTTAAAACAAAACTTTGAAGACAGCAAGCAATACCCCTGCCTTAAAATAGTGAACGATTATTTATCCTTTAGATTCACTTTGCAGAGTGTTGCATTTTGCTTCTTGATGGATGGCCTCATTTTGTGTTATACAAATATGTAAGGCGCTGTGTTTCCCTGCCCATCATGTGGCACAGGCATTCTTTCTCTAATAATCCCTTTTACAAAGAAAATAATCTCTCCTTAATGTTGAAAACATGCATGAAACCCTCTGTACCTTTCTTCACTTTTTCTACATTTGTGTGGATCTTTCCTATATTTGACACTTCTAAGGATGAAGTCAGCAAAAGTAAAAGCAGAGTTCAGGATGATATTGTGGATTAATCATTCTCCCTTTTGGTTAAAAACACAGTATTTTGAGACCTCCAGGATAGGTTGCATACAGGGTTACACTGAGAGATATAAAAAAAAATTCAATTATATTTATATAAACAGCATAAAACAACCTCAAAGACTATTTTGAAAAAACTCGTATAGCAAAAGGCTTTGTGTGCTAAATTTAATTTGCTTTCTTGTGATTCTTAAGTGTATATAATCATGGTACAAGAACATCTGGTGTATTTGACAAGAAACTCCCAAAGCCAAGAGAAATAAAATAAAACCAGCTTAAAACTTAATATATAAAAGGGATAGAAAAGGAATAAGAAGGAAAAAACAATCTCAATGTGGGATGAAATGTGATCATGGATACATTGCCTCTTTAAAGCATAATAAACCTTGGTATACCTGGAAATAGAAATAGGCCTTGCTTCTATGCAGAAAAGTGGCTGGATTTTATCCCAGCAATATAATATAAACCCAGAGGGATTAAAATTGTAGCAGAATGTTATATATACCACATGGAACTTATCATTTTTGCTGCTTACTTGGGAAATCAATACTTTCTTGTAGTAGGCCCACGTGGAATGAAGAAAATCAGCAATTTTGTATGGAGGAAGATAATTTCTGTTGCAGCCTTGGTGAATACTTTATAAACAGGGGTTTGGCACATCTGATGTGGGGCTGTACAAAGATTGGGGCTTTTCCTGGAGCAGCAAGAGCCAGAGGAGGGTGTAGGGTGAGAAGCAAGCAGAGATCAGGCTGAGGATTGGGAGAATGGCAGAGAATTTGAAGGGAATATGGGGGAAAAAAAATGGAAATTGTGCCTCTGCTTTGTGGCTTCTTTGTCATTGTGTGCCACATATGTGCAGTGAGGGGATGTGCTTGTACACTGGATTTAAATGAGAGGAGATTGTGACTCTTAGAGTGCATCAAATAGAGAAATGGCTACAGCTTCAGGGGCTGCTGAGGTTGAACATGGAATTAGTAAGCATCACAGTTGATTCCAACTTTGGGGTGTCTGATTGGGCCAGCCCTGGTTCTCCCGGGTCAGTTTATCCAAGTAATCAGCTGGATCTTACCTAGAGCAGTGCAGCATGTCATCAAGTGCCATAACATTTTTGTTGAGTTCATTTGAGATTTTTTTTTTCCTTTTTAACATGTGCTTAAGCTGCACTAAATTTTTTGACAGATTTTGAGGTAAAATTCTGCAACCACAACAGCAGAGCAATGCCAGGAGCTAATCTGCTGGCATTGAAGTCAGGCTGGTATTTTTCTCTTTTTAATTGCACTTTTTGTCCCTTGCAATATCCCCACCTGCCTTGAAATTTGTTAATGTTGTTTCCTTCCCCACATGTTCCAATCTATCTCAGGATCTCTTTGCTCCTTTTCCATTTCTTATTTTACCTTTCTTTCCACACTCTGCTGTCCTGCCAGCCTTGTGTTGATGGGAGGATGCAATTCATTAAATTAATCACTCTCCAAGCAGCTTTGATGTTCTTGAAAACACAGGAAAGGCAATTTTTGTTTAATTCTGGTGCCTGGACTCAGAGCTCACTCACTGCAGGTTGTGCACTTCTTCCAGGGCCACACTTGGATTTGGGAATTTGCTGTGTGTCAGCTGAGTTTTGTAGGCAGTTTCTTAGGTGAGCACATAGAAACAAAATTTTGTGGGAATCAGAAAAGCAGAAACTTCCACAAACACAAAAAGATTTGATCTGCAGCCTCAGAAGATGCTTAAATTGATGTAAAAACACAACACAGAGACATGAAGCAGAAAAATCATAAATGTTTCTGTAGTTATAAGTAAGAATATGCCTTAAGTAAGTAAGAAACTGTTTTAGGTAAGATAGTAAAAGAGTTTATAAAGAATAAATGGGTGTGTTGTATAAAATAAGCTAAAAGTTTAGAAATTATAATAAAAACTTTTAAAAAGACGTGAGACAGAAACCCACTAGATAAAAGTAGCCACAGTACAGCAGAAGTAAGTAAAGGTAATAATAGAAAAGCAAAATAAACCCTGTGACAACTGTCTATTAGTTAAAAAAGTTAGATATTGTCTTGTAACAAAGAAACTTGTGACCACTCTTAAACTATGACCAATAGCTTACACCTTTAAAATCTCACAACTTCTAAAACTAATGTTATCTAAACAAGAAATCATTCTTAACCCAAAAATAATCCCATCCCTTCATTTCTAACAATGATAATATTTATGTAACAGCATCTGTCACTGACATTACCCGAGGTTTGATTAAAGGAAAAAAATCTAATTATTTTTGGGTTGTATTACCAAAAATTTACAAGGTATAAACAAACAAACAATAAAAAGGTCTTTCTTTCAAGGAGCTTTGTTAGGAAGTGTCTTAATAATGATGTGTCAATAAATGGAAAATCCTCAAGCATGAACATTTTGCATTCTGTATTTACCAACTTCAGACAGGAAAATCTAATGACCCCATTCTTCTGAGAAAGAATACAGCACTGCCTTACAAAACAGGCCATAAAATGACCTGTTTTGTAAAACTATTAAAAACTATAACTATAAAACTATTCAGCTGAAATACTGAAATTACTTTTTAAAAAATCAATCAGTCAAGATGAATCCAATGACAAATTTAGTTTCATTTTTACTCTTCTTTCTTTTTTTTAATTAAAAATTTCCAAATCAGGACTGTTTTGTGAAGATAAATGTTTATATGAATTCATAGCAATTACATATTTATAATTGCTATGAATTGGCTCATAGGAAATGGATGCAGAATTTGAAAGGGAAATTCTGCATTCAAAATGGGATTGCTCCATTTAAACACATGAACAAACAAATAAGATGGTTAAAGCATGAATCAGAAGGAGTAAAGTCTAATTCTAAATCTCATGTACTAGGCTGATGAAAAAAGACTAAAAAAGAATCATTGTTTTAAACATCTCACCTTAAGAGAAATAATTTGGTTTTGCCTAATTACTTCAGAATAAATATGCATCATTTTGCCACCAATTCTTTTATAAACCAAGATAAGTAATATTCTGCAGCTTACATCTTTCTCCAGAAAATGCAGTGCACACTCTCTGCTCCCTGTGGAGCCACAGGTGACATTCTTGCAGGTTTGGTTTAATGCCCTCTGAAATGTCAGTCAGTGGGATGACTTTTTAGATTGTCTTCAGCATCCTCAGATGAAAGCTGAGTGTGCCTCCAGACCTTTCAGAACAGCAAATTCAGTTTTCCAGGAAGATGCTTGTAAAGTTTTTAGACACAGGATAATTTAAATTGTGTGTGTGAATTGGAGGTGAAACCTGAAACAGCAAAAAATTTGTATAGAAAAAAAAATATAATTGCTATGAATCCATACATGTGTCTTTATAAAATAGTCCTGATTTGGATTTTTTTAATTAAAAAAAGAAAGAAGAGTAAAAATTAAGGTAAATTCGTCATTGGATTCATCCTGACTGATTGATTTTTTTAAAAGTAATTTCAGTATTTCAGCTGAATAGTTATCATTTTATGACCTGTTTTGTAAGGCAGCACTGTATTCTTCCACAGAAGAATGGGGTCATTAGATTTTCCTGCCTGAAGCTGGTAAATCACCTGAATTACAAAGAGAAACCTGCAGGATATTGATCACTTTTTTATTATAGCACTGGGGAAATTATTGTGTTTACTGAAACAAGCTCAAAAGTTTGCTTTTTGAATTAGTGTGCTTAGGGAGGGTAAAACCTGCCAGCCTGTGATGTTCAACTCAGATGATTTGTGCTGGACAGAAGAGCTGAAAATTCCCCCTGAACCCTTCACCTCAGAGACCAGGAAACACCTAAAAATCCCTGGGAATCATGCTGGGAATTGCACTGGGAAAACTGATATTTTTGTTGGAATAGTTCAGTCTGTGTTTTGTTGAAAGGAACTAAAAAATTAGTGACAACACGGGTGGCTTGGCCTTCCTTGGAGGAGGGTACTGAGAGAAGTGAATGGAATTGGATTATTTTGCCATGGCCTGAAGTTGGTATTCCTGCTGCTGTAGAAGGAATTGGCACCTGGGATGTTGAGATTATTTTGCCATGACCTGGAGTTAGTATTCCTGCTGCTGACGAAGGAATTGGCCGCCTGGGATGTTTAGATTATTTTGCCATGACCTATGGTTTGACGTTTTTGGCAGGGACTTACTCAATTCTAGCACTTGTGGAGACTTATACAGAAGTATACTTTTTGCTTTACGTTATTAATCAAAACGGACCTTCTATCTGTCTAGATTCAGGGTTTCTAATTAGAATAGGAGGATTTTCTTTTAGTTTTGCTTGTGTGTTATTTGAAAAGTGCTTAAAGATTGGTGGATCGGGTTTTGTACTCAAACTGTTTAGAAAATTA